AGTTTCTATTTTAAAATTGCATCAATAATTGAAAAGGTGTGCTTTATTATTAGGTTTGTGTCGCTATTTAAATCCATTCTCTTTGATAAAAAGCTTATTTGTCTGATAATTACTGATTTTGGATTAGGTAACAGAAAGAAATATCTTTTGAATTCCAAAAAATCTGTATTTTGGAGAGTGAGTATAAGAAAAAAAATAATTTTTAGTTTATATTCATTTACAATGATATGTGTAATTTGAAACATAACAAAAGAATAACAGAGTTTGTGGTTTAACTATGTTGTAATTCCAACAGTTGCGCTTAAAAAATGAAAGATTTGTATTTTTTCGGATATAATATCTCTTTTGTTGAAAATCCTAACAAAAAAGTCTTGAAAATCCAAGTTTTCATTACTCGAGCGGTAAAACAAAAGGGTTTAATAATATGTTGTTAAATTTTAAGAGTTGAATGTTTGTTTAAAATCTAAAAGTTTTCGAAAGAAAGAACCACTTTTATTAGTTAAAAATTAGATAAATAATATGATTGTTGTCTTAATATGTGTTGTTATAAAGTGTTTGACCACCGCTTGGAATTTGTAAACACTTTAAATTTGTGTTGTATCTCCTGGACCTTAAGTTAGTGCCTTTTAATTATTCTTTCATTTTTAGAACTGTAATAAACACCAAAGAATCGTTTTCTATATTTAAAATGATTCAAAACATAAATAATAAAATACATTCTATATAATTAAAACCATCATTTGTTGTGTCTAAGATGGTTTTTGGAACATTGGCGCTGTCCGGTTCAAAAAATATAAGGGTTATTTTATTGATAAAAAAATAAACGAAAAGCACCTAATTGAATCTCCGTTTTGAAAAAAATATGAATGGTGAGGATTTTGTGTTTGAAGATTCCACTAAAAACCAAAACGGTAACTATAATAATATTTTTATTATAGTATTTTTATTGTTTTCACATCACCAAGTATTTTTTTAAGTAGTTTCTTTTTATAATAAAAAAAAATTGAAAAAAATAAACAGTTTGATTTGGGGTAAAAAAAACAGTAAAATGAATGTTTTACTCTTTAAAAAAAACTTAAAATATTTTGAGGAATTCTTTTAGGCATTTTAAACAAATAATAGCATTTATGTTAAATACTGGTGTAGATAATGCCACGTTTTTACATTAAACGTATAATGTCAAATAAAGAGAATTCCATTTTTTTAATTATTTCAAGACAACCAAAAATTGTATTTTACATGGTATTTTTTGTCGATTATTTACCACAAAACTGTTATTGCTTCATTTACCTTTTTTTCAGGAGATTCAACAAAAACAAGTAGAAAGGGGCAAGTGTTAAAAGTAGTGGACTTTAAAAGAAGAGTATCCTCATATGTTGTGTTTGTTTTTGATCCTCCATAAACCCGAAAAAGCCCCACTTTTTTATAAGAAAAAAAAAACAAAAACGTGGAGTGGTTGAACACAAATCGGAGATGTGCTTGTTCTAGTGGAGTTTGCAAAAGTCTTTTAAGAAAGTGAACTTTCCCGACATTAAGGCTATAAGTTAAAAACCCCAAAAAGTATTTAAGATTACCAAGAAACGGTGTTAAATCAAAAAAGAAAAAAACAATAAATATAATACTTTTTTATTGTATTATTCCCGTCTTTTTTTACATGGAACATCCATTTACAAATATATAACAATAATCTGGCATCTTAGTCAAGAGATTCTCAAGAATTGGCGAAATCCACTTTTACTGACAAAAAAGTTAAAAAGGTTCTTTTAGAAAAATCCTCTTGTTATATTCCTTTGTATTTAAACAAAAACTTTCATTATTATAGACATGTCAGCGTCCTCAACCACACACGTCACTTCAAGCGATTCTTTCGATACGAGAGTTTCCAGAGAGAAACGTATTCGCAAGCAAGGGAAGATGTGGGATATCAAGGAAGACGCCAAATTGCTGGAAGCTGTGCGGAAGTATGGCGAGTCGAAATGGGTAGAAATAGCTGAGATGGTTGGGACGCGGTCGAGAAAGCAGTGCAGAGAGAGATATATCAATCACTTGAATCCAACTATCGACAACTCAAAGTGGTCGACTGAGGAAGACATGACCATTCTTAGACAATACGCCCTCATCGGCTCAAAATGGTGCTCAATTGCTTCTTGCTTGAACAACAGAACGGCAAGAGCAACACGAAATAGATACTACTCGCTTGTTCACAAGAAGAAAGTAGTGAGTTGCTTCACTCCTGTCGTTGATGGGTTTTCCATTTCAATTGGTGGAAATCCATGGTAAATAATTGTATCTGTTTCTTCGTTTAACTTTTGTCATTTTGGTTATTTTCTTGTTACATTTTCAATTAAAATGGGCGTTGTTTGTTTTGGTTTCAATTCAAAAACAAAAGTACTTTGAAAAGACATGTCATTTTATTGTTTTTGAATTCAATGTTTTTGAATATTCTTCATAATTACTGGCATATGATAGTATTGTTTACCAAAGTTGTTCAATTTAAAAGTATGATGGACTATTAGAAACGGCTTTTTAACACAAGAATCTAATTTGCCAAATCTTTTTCAAGTCCATTAAAAATCCCAAACTAAAAGTTCAAGTTTTTTTCCAAGAACCAAATTTCGTGACTTCATTCTATACTTCGTTTGTACGTTTTTCTTTGAAATCTTTTTAATAACAAATTGCATCAGACAGTTGAGTAATTATAGAATCGTTATAATTCTATAATTACTTAATAATAGAAAGAAAAGTGCTTAAAAATAGGAACACATAAGAAGAGTGACTTATTCATTGATGTAAATTGGGAAGAAGATGTCATCTGGCCCCAGCGCCACGCCAGAGACCTTCAATGAAATGACAAATTTGTATCCTCGGTAAAACATTATGTCGTTGTGGTGCGATGGTCTCACCATCCCAAGCGCAAACATTTCACTCTTAGTGACTACCCCATTTTTCATCATCCCGCCTTCGAACATGATCTTTTTCTTCGCCATTTCCGTTTTAGTCGTTTCGCCCTTCATCTCCCCGGAGAACGAACGACTGAATCGAGTCTCCTCGCACACCAAAAATGCTTCAATGTAGTTGATCATAGAACTTGTCGAATTGTCTATAGTGACGTCATACATGAAACTTTCATTCACGTTGAATATCTTCTTTGGCAATTTCACTTTATAGAAAATATTTCCTTTCCCAAACATAGGGGAGTACGTCACTTCCTTCTCAAGGCCAGTCACACCTTCAAAGCAAAGAGGGTGGTAAGCCTGGTCATTGTATATTTTAAACTCCATTTTAGGGAATGAAAACGGTTTACCACACAATTTGCAGTTGACGTTAGCCACAAAGCATTGTGGGTGATAGTTATACCCAAGTGCATTCACAAACTCTCCATCAATATGTTTATTACAGACAATGCATGTCTCCAGGCGAGCGTCGTCTTCATTTTCATAATCCCCAAAGTAACTTGGGTTCTCTTTCAAAAATTGAGTGACCACTGGTTTTACCGTCTCAGCTCTTTCCAAATACATTTTGGTGTCTTCTCTCAATTGTTTCTTCATCGTGTCGGTCAAGTCGGGTGCCCTCAGTGCTTGTGCAAAGTAGTCCAAAGCAGTTTCATAGTAAGCAAGTGCATCTGCGTACTTCATATTATTGTCAAACTCCTTTCCCTTTTCCGCTAGAGGTTTTGCAAGTTTCCAAGCCTTCAATCCATTCACAGTGGATGGGTGTTGTAGCGACAACTTTGTTCTAATATACGCCGTTCTTGATGCCGTTGTACTTTGTTTTGGCACTTTAGGTTTCTGTGGAATATTTGTTTGTTGGTTTTGAGATATTGGGGCCGCTGCAGACGCGTTTGCTGCCAAAGTAGTTTGATTGCCATTAGCGCCAAACTGTGGGAAAATTGGTTGTGACTGTTGCATGGGGTTCACGCTTTGCATTGGAAATTGTGGTTGTGCGCCTCCATTCATTTGTTGCATCATTGGCATCATCATTGGACCTTGTGGAGTCATCACATATGACATCTGCATTCCTCCCATTGAACTCATCATTTGCTGCATCTGTGCCATTTGTTGCATTTGTAACATTTGTTGTTGTGTAGCAGTGTTAGCAGGTTGAGTTGCTACTGGCGCAATTGGTTGTTCAGCTTTTGGTGTGACTTCCACTGTTGGCATCACCTTAACAGCGCCAGCCGGCATTTTGTGTTCTTCTTTTGGTGCTTCTTGTTGATGGACTTCTTCTTGTGGATTTGGGAATGACGGTTGGATAATTTTTGGTTCGACCTTTTGTTGTTGTGGTTCTGCTATTTTCTGTTCAACAGGTTGTTCGACTTTTTGTTGGACTGGTTCGATGGTAGAGACTTGTTGTATTGGTGGGTTAAACAGTGCCTCGTCGTGAATAGGAGTGAATTCTGGTTGAACGGGTTGTTGTGGAATTGGTTCTTCTTTCTTTGGTACTTCTGGTTTTGGTTGTTGATATGTTTTTTCAGGGAGAGGTGGTTGAGGTGGTATTGGTTCTTGTTGTTTAGTAGGTTGTTGGGGTTGTTGTGTTCCATCATAATTTGGATTAGACTTAATCAGCTCTATAAAGTTAGCTTCTCCTGGATGTAAATCGGCCAAATAAGTGATTCTATCCGAGTACTCGACTATTTTGTCTAATATGACTGAGTAACTCTCTGCATTAACTGGGTCTTTGTGCGCCAATTTCAAGTAGTAAATAGCTTCTTTATATTTCGTAATAGCGTCAAAGTCTTGTTCTTTATTGTCAAAATCGATAGCGACCTCTGCAATATTGATTGCTTTTTCCAACGACATTAATTTACTTTTTAGTTTTTTGAGTTCATCTTCTTTTTCGTTTGTATTTTATATGAAAACCTCTTTCTCTAACTTGTTGTTTGACGACTTTTTCTCAGAAGAAATCGGGAAATTGTCTGTTTTTTCAACAAGAAAAAAACTTCATAAAACAAAGCGAGAATGAGGATTTCTAAGTTATTTCAATATAATTATAATTATTATTATTATATAATTAATAAAACTAATAGAGTACAATACTATATTTTGTTATAAAATAACTATAAAAATAGAATTAACAAATCGCTTGAAGGAGCAAATCGCCAGCGCTTGTGATCTCCTCTGGTGCGATTTTTCTGAGCTTATCAATCATGTTGTTAATGGTATTTGTTGCATTGAATTGGTTCACAACACTTTTGCACGTTGTGACGCTCTTGACCATTTTAGTGACCGTAATGAATGTAACATACAACACGTCAAACTCCTTTTCAGCAATTAAAAAGTTACCCAACATTGCGCTGCATATGGCTTCGGTGTAATTAGCGACGGCATCTATCTCGTAAATGTTGTTCGGTAAAAACGCGAAAAAGAGTCCACAGAACTTTCTTGTTTGTGAGCAGTCTGTTTTGAAGAGTCTTGTTGCAACCTTTTTGATGAAATCAAATGCTTTAGAAGTGAATTGTGTAGTATGTGAAAACACCGCAAGTGTTGCGACAGCGGCCACAATAGTTTCTTGGTCATAATCGAACTCCGATATTTTCTGCAAGAAGTCTGCGACTGTTTTCTCCTCCAACGTAGCATTTGTGATATAATCGTTTCCGAGTGTTGATGCCAAAAATTCGTGTGTCGTGTAGTGTAATGTCATTACGTCTTCTTTATCTGTAGGGACAAATTCTTGATAGATTTTCAGTATTTGGAAGCGGAGTTGGAGTTGAATGTCATTGGAATACAAATTGATGAACTTTTCCATATTAATCATAAATGTTTGTTGCTTCAAAAAACACAAATTCTCCTTCCACTCATTACACGACGGTGACACCAAATTGAAAACACACTCACAAACCAACGACAATATCGTTTGACTCAACGAATACTTCATCGCAACCACAGAAAAGTATTCCATTAAGTTCGTTTCGACTTTCAATTGCTGGCGCTTTAAGAGGAATAACAACAAATCCAATCCATGGTACTCCACAGCAACTTCACACTCGTACGTTCGCATTGTGATCTCAAATATATCAAGCCAACCCTCTTCATTGAACTTTTCAAAGTCATTTGTGATGTTCAAAAATGCCAAAGACAATATAAGCGAGTTCTTCTGGATTGTTGCGTTCCCAACAAACTCAAGAGCCGCTAAATAACATCTTTTCCCCCAACGATATATCTCCTCTTTAGTCGGCGTGTTTGTTATCAATTTAATTAACACGCACCCGCTGTGGTCTTGGATTAAAGAGTTCTGTTGAAAGATTTCCATTTCATCACACAACGAATCGCCTATTTGCATCGAGTACATCTCGTGGATGCCTTGATTGTTCGTGATCAAGTTGAATAAGAGTGTGATTGCACACACCACAATCATTTCAGTCTTTTTGTACTTCTTGAGTATCTCCCCAATGACTAAATGAAGTCCGTTCTTATATGCAACTTCACACCATTTGTTCTCATTGGTCACTACTTGGAAGAGAGAGATACCAGATGTCACTATTTCCTCGTCGTCCAAGTGATTTAACATGATCCCAGTGTACACACGCATCTCCTCACTCTCCGCTGGTGTCACTTTGTCTCTGAACCGATTGCAACACAATGAAAATATGCCGATGATAATATCCTTCTCGTTTTGCATTCTATTTGCAAGGCGCGAGAATGAATACCACCGTCTTCCAAACAATTTATTTTGCGAATTGTCTCCTCCAAGAGTTTTGAGTATTTGCAACGAGTTCACAATCGTTGGCACATACATGCTTTCGTCCAACAAATCCAGTAGAGTCTTACAGAAGTTTTCTTTATCTTCTTTGTTAATTTGGACTGTGGCTAACATCTTGTTCAGAGCTTCTGTTGCAATGAGGGATATACAATCTCTCAAATCCTTTGAGTTGCTTTGGATGTGTTTAAGAATATATCTGTGGACGTTCTCAGTGATCAAATTTGCGTTGTTTGTGGTGTTTCCCGAGTACGCGCCGATTGCGGTCAAAACGTCGTAGAACCCCTCGTCTGTGTTCAGTGCTTCTGAAATCTTCACCGAGTACTTGTATAAGCCATCGTTCCACATTTTTGTTTGAACGTCGGTTTCTTGTGCACAAATTGCGAACACGTGAAGGAACAACAGTTTGATTTCACTGTCGGACTTCTCATCAATTTTGTTCATAAGACTCACCAAATTTCCTCTGAAAACAAAATTCTTTCTGTTGTTTTCATCTTGTAATAAATACAAGCAGCACTTGAGTATCCCAGACATCTCCGTTGGTTGAATCAACCCGGCAAGTATTTCAGATAAGATGGAAGGGAAGAGTGACCGACCAGAAACAATTTGTGAGACAACATAAGACGTCAGTCCGCCAGCACTTTCTGGAGAGTTCTCTTTTAATGAAGAGAGACCGTTGACGGTGATGTAAGACTCTAAGCACTGTCTTCTGAGATAGACTGAATTCAGTCTTTTGTACAGAAATGAAATGATGACAACGTCGTGTGGAAGTTTGAAGTCGAAAGAGTTTAATACGTTTCTCTCGAGTTGTGGAGGTATTGTGTATGATGGGTGGTCACGCATCCAGTCGATTAACTCATACAAAAGAAGTTTAAGAGTGAGTTGCAAGTCAAATACAGTGAAAAGTAAGTTGTTGACATTTTCAACGGTAAACACTTTCTGGATGTATAGAGGAGACTGTGTGTTGTGGGAGTACAACGGACGTACAATCGACTGAATTATAGCCTTTGTGGTTCTGACATACAAAGTGGTATTGGGTGGACTTTCTTTACAAGAGCCACATGAAGTAAAATGCTTTACAAACAATCCACCAAGTTTTTTGCAAAGAAACTCATCCAAGTACATTGTACCATCAATGCAAATGACTTTTAAAATTTGGTTTTGTGAAGGTGGATTGTAATCTGGTAATTCCTGAGGAATTGGAACGTTCAGAAGAGAGTTGTAACTGCTTTCAATGTCTTTCAACTCAAAGAGTTTGCGCATCACTTGGTTCGATATGTTTATTAAGTTTTATTTCTTTTGAGGCGTAAAATCAATATTTCTCAAGTCTTTTGATGGTAAATAATGTCAAAAAAACAGTGACAGTTTCTATTAATATCAATAGGTAATCCAAATTGATTTATTCCAGTAACTATTAATTAAATTTGTTATTAAATAGTATAATTATTATTATAATAATAATTCATATTAATTATATTTATTTAATTATTGTGTTTAATAAATAGAGCATTTTATTATTATATAATTTTTTTACTATATTTTATTATTTAATTTGTTAGTTTCCAAATCAAAATGATTATAATATTTTTATTATTCATTATAATGAATTTTTATTATTTCGATTATATAATCAACTATAAAGTTCTAATAAACATGAAATTGATATATTATTAAATATAATATAATATTAGTTATATAATAGAAATAACAAACTACGATGTATAGTTATAAATTAAAAAATAATATTTAAATTTAAAAAAGTTGTATTCAAAAAGTAATAAATTCTCAATAAAATATCAGGTTTTCGATGAAAACAAATTATCAAAGAGATTGAGTAAAGTCATTTTAGATAACACAAAATTATAATTAAGAAATTAATAAATAACTATAATCAGATGAAGAAATGAGACAACTTCCATATTCTAAAAATGTCGAATTAATCATAAGAACTAAAAAAAGTATACAGTGAAATGGCCGATAGTGCCACATCGTTGAAAATTTTATTGATTGGGGACAGTGGTGTTGGTTTGTAATTCACAAAGTACTTGAACTAATTCAAAACATTTACCAATAGGGAAAACCGCCCTTCTAAGACAGTACTGCGACCAGAAATTTATATTTGACACTACCAGTACAATTGGATGCGATTATAGGTCAAAGAAAATATCGTACAAAGGAGAAACAGTAACGCTACAACTTTGGGACACCGGTTTGTCAATACAGAATATATTTGGGAGGGTGAGTTACACTCAATTATAACAGAACAAAAAATGACTCAAAGCTGGTCAAGAAAGATTTAGAAACATCACAACAAGTTATTACCGTGGGTCACAAGGTGTATTAATCGTGTACGATACAACAAATTTCGATTCATTAAAACAAGTGAGTTACTGGATAAACGAGTTGAAGAAGGAGAGTGTAGACGGCGTCGTTTTTCTTGTTGGAAACAAAATTGATGTGACAGGAGAATTGAGTAAAGAGCAAGAGGATATTGTGAATAGTGTGAAACTTCAACACTTCGTTGTATCTGCAAAAAGTGGGAACGGTGTCCAAGAAATGTTCACCCAACTTGTCACCACGATTTTGGACCAAGGAGTCTTACCCGAAAAGGTCGGAGACATGCAGGAAGTCTCCTTGGAACAAAATAAAGACAATCAAACTCAACAACAAGAAAAACAATGCTGCTAATTATTATTATTACACAATAATAATAGTATTATTATTGCTAATTAATTATTACTCTATATTGTTTGATTAATTTTTACTATTTTATAGAATTTGTTTTCCTTTTATTTGTTACTCTATTGATTTATAAACGAGAGTGTATAAATAAAAAAGTCGGTCTTTTGAACTATAAATAATGGAATATTTCAAAGATTTTAAGTAATAATTTAATAAATTTTATCTTAATTTAAAATAATTTATACTCGTTATTTAATTAAAATTAAACTATATTGGTTTAGCTGATTATATAAAGTGAATTAAGACAATATCACGTTTGGCTCATCTATCCCATAATCACTTTCAGATATAAAAATTAAATAGAATTTGCTCGCTTTTAAGTAATAAGATTCAAAAATTAAAGAAGCAATTTTCAAATATTTCATCATTAAAACACTTAACTTTGGTTTTCCATCTAAAGTGTCTTAATAATATGTTGAGTGGATTCAACAACCGAAGGGGTTGCGTCATCTTTGGTATATTTAATTGTATTGAACTTTCGTTATTTGTGTTGTATTGATTTAATCTTGCCAATAATTGTTCGATTGTTTTTGCTTTTGAATAATATCTATTTCTAACCTCAAAGACAATTTCTCTAAAACAGAGAAACAGTTTATTTGTTTATTTGTCACTATCTATATATTTATAAAAATATATTTATTATTAGTTTTTTATTTTAATTATGATTTATTCTTTTAGTTATTATTTTTAAAAATATAATTAAACAATCAAATTTATTTTTTAAACAATTTGAAAAAAAAAATGTTTTTTATTCTATTTTAATTTTAAATTAACTTATTATTAAATATTAGTTGTTATTGTTTTTAATTTACTAGATTGTTGTTTTTGTATTAAAATGTATTAAAATGTTTGTAATTTATACTGTATTAAAACATTTAATAAACATAACTTTAGTATTATAATAATTGTCCTCAATTTAATTCGAAGAAAGTTACACACCACTTACCACATTTTTTCAATGAACTCTTCTTTTCTTCTGTTTTTCAAATAACCCCAAAAAAGTGTAGTTCAAATTATTGATGAATTAGTTATAAATTATTTAATTATTAATATTTAATATTGAATTGTTTTGGGTTTCAAAGTAATAAAAGAAGTGTGCCAGATTAATACACTAATACATACAATGCCATCTTTAATCCTCTCCCGAACAATTCCATCAATTAAACGAATAAACTTAATAATAAAATAGAATAATTCTTCTAGTGATTTAAAAAGACATTATTTGCCTTGTGTCATGTTAGAATAAGAAAGAAAATCTATTTATAGTTAGAATGAAATACTGTTTTTTCTCTCAGTTTCCAACCCTCCTCTATTTAACTACAAAAAATATAATAGAGATATACACATGGCGACAGTTCTTGGAATCGGAAACGCACTTCTCGACTTACTTTGCAACGTCCCGGACGAAGTCTTGACCGAACTTGAGCTTCCAAAAGGATCAATGCAACTTATTAACGAGAAACAAAATCAAACCATTTTGAAGGTAGTCAGTAAGTACCCCAAAATAGTTGTGTCTGGTGGGTCTGCGTCGAATTGTATTCATTCCGTTGCTCATTTAGGTGTCAAGTGTACTTTACAGGGTAAAATTGGAAAAGATGCCAATGGCAAAGCGTTTGAAGCCGATTGTGTGAATTCCGGAATAACACCAAACCTTGTTTTGACTGATATGGCGACAGGGTGTGCAAATGCATTCATCACCCCCGATGGGGAAAGGACATTTGGCACGTTCTTGGGAGCAGCTTCAACACTCTGTGCAAATGATATAAACGAGCAAGTCATGAAAGGGGTGAAGGTATTACACACTGAGGGGTATTTAATGAATGACCACGACATGTTTAGAAAAATGATGAAAGTGGCTAAAGAGCAAGGCTTAGAGATTTCACTCGACGTTGGATCTTTTAATGTTATTAACTCAATGAAAGACTTCTTCGACGAAATCATTCGAGACTACGTCGACATCCTTTTTTGTAACGAAGAAGAAGCTCAGGCATTAACTGGGGTTGAAGACCCATATGAAAGTCTTGATATGTTAAGTCAAATAGTGAAGCTACCTATTGTGAAACTGGGTGGAAAAGGGTCCATCGTAAAAATGAACGGCAAAACCGTGAAAATCGAACCATTCAAAGTCAAAAAAGTTGTTGACACAACTGGAGCTGGTGACTCATATGCAGGGACATTTTTGGCGGGATATATTAGAGGAGCGTCGTACGATAAATGCTGTAAAGCCGCATCACTCGTGTCCTCAAAAGTTATCCAAAAAATGGGAGCTAAATTAACTGACGAGCAATGGGATCAAATCAGGCCTGAAGTCGAAGAGATCTTTGCTTGAGTCTATAATTCATTTTTGTTGTTTTGTCTTTTTGATGTTTCGAATTGTGGAAAATTTGAAAAAAAATGAAACCCTATTTATTATTTGGGCTTTATTATTACCAAATCTAATTATAAATTTAGCACAAGAAAGTCCATTTTGTAGAAAGAAAAAAAATTAATTTAACAAATTGTAACGTTTTTAATATAATAATATTTATAATTAATAATTACTAGTTTATAGTTTTAAAAAAGAAAAAAAATAACACTAAAAATTGGGACCGACTAATTTCACCACCACCTCTATAAATAAAAATATTTATTTATAAAAAAGATGACAATTATTAGTAAATGCTCAATTTCAATTTATAATAACAATAATAAAAATATTTTTTTTGTTTTTCGAATAAACTTACTAATTACTTATAATTTTTCATATTTACAAACCACAAATTATTCACTAAGTTGCAAATTATTTCTTAATCATTGGACACGTTTGTTTGTTATGACCATATTGTTGACACCTTCCACATTGAGTTATTTTTCGTTTTTTATGTTCTACATTACATAATGTTGGCTTCTTAAATCTACCTTTATTTTCTACCATTTCTACAAGTCTTCTTGGTGAAGGTCCAGTCTGTTTTTGTCTCACTGGGTCTATTAAGTTTTCTCCAAACCGAAGAACGCTTCTTCTTATCGAGCTCTCTCTACTAATTGGTAAATCTGGTCCATGTGTGGCCAATATTACCGTAGTTTCAGTTTGAGTTGTGGCTTTGTTTGCATCTGATGTTTCTTGTGTGGGTGGTTTACTAATAACCATATCCACTTTCACTAACTCCTCTTCCATCTTTTTGTTTATTCTGCATCTTTCTACCAATTTCCAGAACTCGGTTAAGCGATCCGGATTTGATTTTAAAATGGGCTCTATTTCCTCTAGATTGTATTGAAGATCACTATGCGTTTTTGGATAGCAATTATTGGTTTCTTCTCTAGTCTCTTTTGTGTGGGTAGCCTTTTTAAACTCATTAGAAAGAAACACTTCTCTCCCAAAGCAAAGTCTAGACAATGGGAATTTGGTAAATTCAATGCACTTTTTGATAATGTGTATACACGGGTAATGAAACAAATTAAAAGATTTACAAGTGCACGAAGTGAAGGTACATTCATTTTCAGTAATTTCTATTATTTTCCAATTTGAGTACATATTACATATTTTATTTACTATATAAGAACTTATGTTAAATAAAATGTCATGTGGAATAATGTATTGTGCTACTTCAATATTGACAAACGTTTCTTTATGAGAGTTCAAATCAAATTTTCTAGCATCATTAATCACCGTTTTGACAATTTCCACGAGTATACAAACCACGTTCCCGCGTTTCTGTTTATAAGATCCGAAGTAGCCTTCTATCCTATTTGTTGTTTGAGAATTGGTGTACACAAGAACAGAAGATGGCAACCACGAGTCTTTTTCTTTAATTAAGTTTTCCAAAACTCTGATTTTATCCTTTTTTTCGATTTTGGGTTTTTGATTTTTTCTTAGATCTTTGAGTTCAATCAAAGTTTCCAAAAATAACTCAGCATCCGACGCTAAACAATCTCCTGTTTTTATATCACTATCTTTTATACAGTCATTGATTTTTTCAACTTGTTTAGAGCTAAGTTCATACCCTGAATGCTTCATCAATTCTGAAATGAAGTCTTTTTCGTTTAAAACGCCGGCAATCATTTCTTCGAAAAGTTTTATTATAACTGAGTTGTTCCCAAATGCTACTTGTAGATCTCTTTTAATGTGTCGAATACAATGAAACACTTTAATACCGGGAAATATTGAAAGAAGAGCATTCTTTTGAGCAAGACATCTATCACAAAATGCACACTCCATTATCACCCCGTTGTTACGTAAGAAAAGAAAGAAGTTTTCAAATCTTATCGTCGTGCGATTTCTTAAAAGTGCAAAAATGGAATATGAGTGTTTCCATTGTGATCTCCACAGACTCCGACAACCAAAGTAAAATTAAAGTGATTTGTGAGTGCAGTGTCGTCAATAAATATCGGAGTTTCAAGTGGTTTGGAATATTTGACATTGAGAAAATAACAAGCATCAAATTGTCCTCTTTGTGTTTTGATTACATGAGTTATAAAATCTTTCAAATCAACACAATAAAACAACAAAGTCTTTGCTTGATCAGACGTTCTTGAATCATACTCATTTTGTAACATATATTTTATTCTTTTTGAATTAACAGCAATCTCACATGATGAAGCTATCTGAGCTGGCTTAAGACCCGTACGTGCCAAAACTTGCATTTTTCAATCTTCTCCAAATCAAAAATGTATTGTGCACGTGCTGGTAAAACATCAAATGAATGATTGTGTTGTTGTAAAAATTGATTCAATGTATTTTCTATCTTTAGAAACGCGGACATTCATTTGGCAAGTGCATCCATTAAAACAACAACAAAATTTCTGTATGAGTTTAGTCTTATCGGTATGTTGTGATGAAAACAAAGAATACTTAACACCTCCTATCGTAATTATAGTGGCTTCTTTGACAATTGTTGTCACTTTTTCTATATCAAAAGGTGTTGAATGTATTTTTTCGAACATCCAAGGTGGTGTCGGGTTACCAAAAGAAGGTTCAATTTTTTCCATTGCGTTTGGTAAACTCATTTTAAGTTTATTAGATTGTTATTGATATTGATATTAATATAAAACCCTGATTATTATTGTTATTATAAATTGAAATTGAGCATTTACTAATAATTGTCATCTTTTTTATAAATAAATATTTTTATTTATAGAAGTGGTGGTGAAATTAGTCGGTCCCCTAAAAATTTCAATTAAAAAAACAAGAAAAAATAATTAAAAAATAAAAATTGAAATAAAATCTTTGTCATTTTTATTATATTTTATTCAACAGTAAATAAAATAAATGGAAAATATAATTGGATGCAAAAAAAGACTAAATACTGATTGTTATTGAAATAATTAATTGTTGAATTTTGAAAAGATTTTTACTTCTTTGCTTTTTCAAAAAAAAATATAATGATTATGTTAGACTTATTTATAAAATGTTTATTATCAATAAAGCTATATGGGGTTCAGTGACAAAAAATTAAATTCAATTAATTACATTAGTAAAAATATAGTTTTTGTGATTTAGTTATGGTGAACTACATCTTGTGTAAATTGTTTTTGATGTATTTTGGGTCAAAACTGGTTGATTTTATTCTGCTTTGAAAGATTTTATATAGTTCATTATAATAATTAATATAATTACTTCAAAATGTACAGATTTATTACCCAAAAAACATAACAGAAAGAAGTGCAGTTTACAAATGTGAATGTTTTAATCGAAAAACGAGCAACTTAGAACTGTCCTTATTTCATGAGCACACCACGACAACAATTTGAATTGTTGAAAAAGAGTTCTCTCTTTTTTGATTCTTCTTTTATATCATTTGACCCTGAGAAGAGTTTGATTGGGGTTGGTTCTGTTGGTTCTGTATATCGTGCACAATTCAGTGGGAAGACAGTTTGTGTGAAAGTTTTTGACCACAAACCAAAACTTGATGCTCAAGACTTTTTGAAAGATATTGAGTTTTTGTCTGGATTGAACCACAATAATATAGTACTTTATATGGGGTTTTCTTTGATAGAAAATGTGTTTGCTGTAATAACTGAATATGTTGAGTTGACTCTTGAAAATGTTATAGCAGGTAAAACAGAGCAAGTTCTTAGTCTAATCCAGAAAGTTGTTTTATTCGAGCGTTGTTGTCTTGGCGTGCAATGGTTACACAACAGATTCAATTTAATTCACCGCAACATCAAACCCTCGAACTTCCTCATCCAACCAAATTTAGACGTGAAAATTTGCGACTTCAAATTTGCAGAGTCTGCAAAACGTCCGACAAAAGAATTTCGAGGAAGTTTATTGTATTGTGCGCCTGAAGTATATGATGACCGGTATGACAAATCACTTGATATTTATTCCCTTGGAATGACGATGTGGGAGCTCTTTTACTGTAAGAATTTGTTAACCGAGTTCATGAAGAAAACAAAAGAGCCCCTTCAAACTGTGTTTTGTACGTTAATTAAAAATGGTGTCCGCCCGACCCTCCCACGTAAATTTATGTGCAAAAATTTTAAAAAAGCCGAAAACGAAAAAGATGGACTCAAAAAGAAAGAACTTCAAAATGAAATTGAACGAGTGAAACTGTCTTATAACACTAAAGTGCCAAAGAACGTTGAAAACATAATTGAGGAATGTTGGACAACCGATCCAAGTAAAAGACCAGACATAAATCAATTGATTAAAATGCTCTCTGATTTACGAATTGTATTTGTTGTGAGCTTCCACTCGGCTCTTATGTGGTGGAACACGCACTTTGCGTTAGGAAATTCTGCCGATGAAGTTGTTCCCATAAAAACTTTTGTGGAAAATCTGTGTGACACGTTTGGTGTAAAAGAGCCAAGCACCATAAATCGGCTGATTGAGTATTTAAGCGAGAACAATCAAGTGAATTTGGAGCACTTCGGATTTTTAATTCGGTTGTTCGGCAAATTTTATAAGAAGAAGACACTCTTTGCTAAAATGCTGAAGATGTGTAAAGCAGATTGGTACTATCCAAATTACAGTAGAGAAGAATCTCAAGCTAAATTGACGGGGTCTCTTGATGGGACGTACTTATTTAGAGTTTCTAAAAAGACACTCGACTATCCTTTAGTACTTTCTCGAGTTGTTAAAGGGTCGATAGTGCATACGAGAGTTTCATGTACAGATCTTGGGGACAAAGGTGTAATGTATAAATTGGAAACCAAAACCGGAATCTACTCAGACAATGATTTGTGTCGAATAGTTGATGTAATGACAAGTATGAATGTCTTAAAAGCGCCATGTTCTAAAGAAGAGAACTACAACCCCTATTCTTAGACTCTCTCGTTGCTATATTTTATAATTAATTTACTATTCAATTGAACACAGTTTTAATAGTTTTATTAATGATACTTTAATTAATTAGAATAATTAATAACAAATTCTATGTTTATAGTAATTATTTGAATAATTTAATTATATTATTGATCAGTGGAATTGCGACTCAAAAGAACATAAAAAGATAAACAATGGAGGGACTTCCTATACAACAACATGTCTCTGAAATAATACAATGTGTTTCTACCAACCAAATAACAATCCTTTTGGGCACTACTGGGTGTGGAAAAACAACGATGGTGGGTCAAATGTTGTATGACCACTCCATACCCCATAAAGACCCACGCATCGTCACGACGAACCCACGTCGGATTGGTGCGGAGAGTGTTTCCGAACGTGTTAGTGATTTGCGCAAAGTGGAGTTGGGTACTTTTGTGGGGTACAAAGTTCGGTTTGATGATATGACCTCTCCGTCGACACGGCTCTTTTTTATGACTGATGGGATATTATTAGCGGAGTTGTCTGCAGATCCGGTACTGAGTAAATATGATGTTCTAATTATAGATGAGGCGCATGAGAGAAGCATCAACACCGACTTTTTATTATCATATTCTGCAAGACTCTGTCAGAAGAGAAAAGATTTGAAAATTATCATCAGCTCAGCCACTATAGATACCAGTGAATTGACTAAATATTATTCGGGGTATTCTCTTAGTGTTGGCACTGTCACAGTGAAAGGACGAGTGTTCAATGTTAACATCAAGTACTTGACTGGAGACCCAAGTCCGGCACTCAATCCTGTAGTCGAAACGGTGTTGGAGATACATAGTATGTATGACACGGGGGACATCTTAATATTTCTTTCTGGTGCTGAGGAGATTGAAAAGTGTTGTTCTTTGATAGCGAGAAAAGCCACTGAAATCACCGCTAAAAGTGACTTGATTATTCTCCCATTGTACTCCGCACTTCAAAAAGAAAAACAGAAAAAGGTCTTTTTAAAAGCACCACCAAACACCAGAAAAATTGTTGTCGCAACTAACATAGCAGAAACCTCTATTACAGTCCCTGGTGTCAAATTTGTGATTGACCAAGGACTAGTCAAAACTATGCAATCCACGGGCGGAGCAGAAGGGTTGACTCTCGAAACCGTTTCCAAAGCGGGTGCTATACAACGGTGCGGGAGAGCTGGAAGGACTGAAGAAGGAATTTGCTATCGACTGTATAGTGAAGAGTCATATAACCAACTGAGAGATGAGAGTGTGCCAGAAATAGTACGAGTCAATTTGGAGGATGTTGTTTTGAAATTGAAAATGTTGGGCATTGGCCTTGAAGAAACTTTCTTTGTTGAGAGACCGCCTGTATTAAATGTTGTAGAAGCTGTGCGAGAACTTCGGTATATTGGTGCGATTAACGACGATGGGGAAATAACCGATTTTGGGAAAAAACTGGTCAAATTTCCACTGAGTCCAAGGCAGGCTGCTGCTGTGTGTGAGGGGTATACCAACAACGTCTTAGAAGAGGTGAGTGAATTGATTGGGATGGTCAGTCAAGAGAATGTGTTTTTAGGGAGTTACAGTGGAGTTAGTGGAGTTAACAATGACCTTATTGGGATGATTGTGGCGTATAAAATGTGGCAAAAATATGGGGAGGTGTGGGGGACGAAAAAAGGGTTAAACCCACAAATGATGCGATACAGTAAATTGATTGTCAAACAAATAGTGGAAATCGCAAGAGATGTGTTTAATGACAAATCCACACAAGAAACAAAGGCAATGCGGAATAGAAGTCACAGCAGAGAAAGAGATCGCGTGAAGGATTTGGAAGAAGCGATTGAAATCAATCACATCATTAAGTCACTAAAAATTCGCGAAATAATCGACGCGATCTATTCTGCATATTTTAGAAACACCGCACAAAGGTGTGGGAAAGGAAAGTATCGACTTAAAGGCACAAACATTGATACAATCATTCACCCCACAAGTAGGTGCAATTCCGAGAAAGAAAGTGAATGTGTGATGTTCATAACAATGACTGTTTCCTCGTCTGTGATGCTTAAGTGGGTCTCTTCTATTAACGAAGAAACAGTCAAAAAGCATTGGGACGACCTTCCGAAACTTGACTTGAAAAAACTTATTGGTGAGAAGTTGTACGCAGACTTCACTTCCCAGAAATTAAGTGGGACAGGCTCCGCTTGGAGCTCTGCAAAAATTGAAGTTGAGCGAATGCAAGTGAAGCGAGCAAGTGTGGAAGAAATCAGTGATGCAAAACAACGTTTTTTGGCTCGCAGAGCCAAAGGTCATCAAACGCCGTCTGGGAAATAAATAGAACATGTTACTATAAATTAATTATAATTGTATCATACTATTTAATTAAAAGAATAGTATTAATATAAAATACTATAATATATATAGAAAGTGCAACACAATGGAAGATCAAATTAATTCATATCATACGGACCGACAAAGTTTGTCTGGTAAATTTTCTTTGTTCCAGCCTTGAGTGGCTCGTAGTTTGGACCGCTTGCAGCCTTTTTCACATACGACTGATCGTCCCAGGCAATGTCAAAAGAAGAGAAAGCTGGCGCGTGAACACCGTCAACAACATAATTCTGGTTATATTTTTCAAGGACTTCAAATGGAATGAAGTCGTAGCCACACTCTTCTGTGTTTGTAGTAGCTTCCACGTCATTACCTGTGTAATATGTTGTGAAGATATCTTCCAACATTTCTGGACAAGTCGGCTTAATAGTGATCAACTGTTTGTCTGTCATATCTTTATTGAAAGATAAGAGGTTGATACTCATTAAGTTCGTGTTTTGGATTGGTGTAATGTCCATAGAACCAAAAGATGAGTAAGGTCCAAAACTGTGTTTTCTTGACTTGATGAAGTACAGTCTGTTTTGGTCACATTGGAAGATCCCTTTGTATTTGTCATTGCGTGAACTGTCACATATGAGTGGTGTAATAGACGCTTCTATATACCTTTTCACTCCTTTTTTTAATACCAATTTGCAACACTCGGCATATGTTTTAGTGTTCATACACTCTTCGTCCATTGGTGTCCATTGTTCAAAGGATTGGACATTGGGGCAGATCTGCATTTCTTCCTTGATCGAGTGTTGTTGCAACCAGAACTTCAAAGAGTGACCGTGTTGGTATCCATACGAGTTTTTGACGATATACCCACCATCGACAAAATTGTGCAAATCACTCCCCCAACTTCGGTCAATTCTCTTCTCATCATTCCACCCAACCACTAAGACACTGTGTTTATCAGTGTAATGCAATTGTCCAATGAAATCGTAGACACCAGACTGTGAGTATGGATTGTATGAAAATGAGACACAGAGACCATCAGAGCTTGTTGGACATGGGATTTTTGTTAATGAGTCTGGGCATGTGTATCCGATACTATTTGTGCATGGGATGTAATATCTCCGTTTAAACACACCGAAATTGAGAGTGAATGGTAAGCCCGTCTCCGCCATCAAAATTCTCAATTTAAAATCGTTGTACACCGAATTGATTCCATTCACTTGGAACTTAATTGGACTTGAACTTGGGTTCTCGATGTACCCACTCGGCGCAACGGCGGGATTCAATTTGTCACCAAATATCTTGGAGAGGTAAAAAAGTAATTCCGGAGAGCCCGAGTTGCTATTAACAGCGTCACAATATTTGTTCTTTGTTTGAGTGCAGAGCTTCTTGACAGTCGAGTAAAAGAGTTGCTCGTCAAATTGGACGTACTCATCTTGCCCTAAAAATCCTTTCTCCAAGCCGTTTTTGCGATAAGAAGATTCTAAAAATGCAGTCGACGCATACACCCAAGAGGGCACGTCTTCACTTTGTTTCTCAACACCTGTCATTGTGTTGTAATAAGATATGTATTTCCGTGTTGAGTTCATGAACCGCTCCTTCTCGACAAAAACGTTGTCGATCTCGTTGCCCAATAAACAAGCGGAAACAATTGTGACAACTAATATAAACAAGTTGAGTAAAATCAACCCACCCCAAAGAAGCCAAAATGGGATCGCTTTCTTGTCCATCGATACAAATTTTTAGTTCTCTCGGTTCGACATCCTTCTGGTTCTTTTGTGAATTTTCTTCTAATAGAAATATAGTAAAATAATGTCTATTATTTGCATCTTAATATCGCATTGTTTCGGGTATTGAAACAGAATGGTTTTGTATTAATAATTTATAATTTAAATGGTATAGTATCTTCTTTTTATAAATTATTTATTAGAAGTATCAATTAAATAATAATTAAATATTATTAATAAAAAGTAACACTTTAAAAAATTAAAAGTTAAAACAGTTTAATCAATTGATCACCAAAATATAATAAATATATTAATAAATAAATTAACAAGTTTCATTTTATAAATAATTTCATCAACAATACTTGAAAGATTCTTCACACAACGATACTGAGTTGTCTGTTAATATAACAAAAACTATTGAAAAGTGATTAACAACCAACACTTTATACTATCAAACATCAAAAATACTTTGTAGTAATCTATAAATTTCCCAAGCAAAATGAAATTAGCCAAAGTCTTATCTCGAAAAAGAAAATATGGTTCTTCTGTCCGACATTCTTACACAAATAATGAACGGACCTTATCCACCCGAGTCATCAATAATTCAGAAATTGTCCGACTTCATGCTGCTTCATCCCAAAGGACCCCTTGGGTTAAGTACACACATGATTGTTTTCATGAAAAAGTTTAAACACTCTGAAATTGACGGAAATAGTATGTGCAAACTACTCTTTGCGCTTGATAAAGTTGTGTGTACACAACCCATTTTTAGGGCTGAATTACAGACAGTAGAATTTATGAAAAGGTTTCAGGCGCAATGTGACTATGTTTGTCTTGTTTTAAATACCATTTTTGAAAACAATTGATTCATGTACAGAAAGAACGAAATCTTGATTCTATCGCAAAGACGGCGAGTCGAGCATTAGCGGAGAAGTGGGCTACAGATTTTCCCGTTGAATTTCCAGAGTATGTGAAATTTGTTCAGAAATATTCCACAGTCTTTTTTCAAAGAAGTCCAATTGAAGTTGAGGAATTTGTCGCGGTTGTACAAAAGACGATTCGCGACACGTTGGAAGAGTGTTCGCAAAAACAAAGTTCGTTTGAAAATACAATTAAAAAACTCATTGCTCTAAAGGAGTTTGTTTTCTTGTTCATGTAATTAGTAATGTTCTCCTTTGTCTCACGAAAAGAAAATTTCCCAAATACGCCGCTTTGATGAAAGAAAATCTACAGAGTACAAAGAGTTTGGACGACCTTTTGTGTGTGATCGAATACCTTGTTTCCAAAATAAAAAGAAGTGCAGACGCGTTGAATCTGAGACCAACACAGAAGTTGGACGATAAAGGAGATGTAGTATGTGTTAAGAAAGCACAACAAAAACAAGAAGAAAAAAAGATCAAAGAAACAAAGAAAGCAGAAAAGACGAGTAAAAAGAGACGGGCAGAATCTCTACAAAGTCCGGGATATAACGTTTTGGGTGGATTACTGGACGAACAAATAACATCTGATAAAACAGAGTTGAAAGTCGAACAAAAAACAATGGAAAAAATAATCACACAACCAGTATACGTAGAAACAAAAACAAGAAAAAGAATGTCAAGTACTGGGGGAGTTCTTTTGGCACCTCCAAGGCCAAAAAGAAATTGTAGAATGTCCATTGGAAGTCCAGAGCAAGTCTCATTCCTCTGAATTTTTATTTTCCGTTTTTTCATTTTTGAACTATAACTAATAGTAATAAAGTTATTATTATTACTATGACATTTGGTTATTTTTATACAATTAAATATCAAATAAAATAAAAATTTTATAAATATGATTTAGTAATTTATTAACATAAAATTGTAGTTTTTTATTTAATTAAAAAAGATAAAATATTTAATTAGAAGTTATAATAAAACTCAAATAAAAAAATAAAAAATAAAAAAAATAAAAACTGAATTTTTGGGAATGTTCAGATTTAATTCAAATAATCTTGTTTTTGTAAAACCATAATTATCATTTCAAATGACATTGAACATAATTCAAATGGTCTAAAAATCGGGAAATCTCAAGTTTATTTAATATTTTTTTGTTTTTTTAAAAAATATAAAACAAGCACATTGCCACACAGGCTAAAAAAGAAAAAATATCAAAAAAATGAATATATTTCTCAGTAAAAACATGTCAATTTTATAACAAAGATGTTATTTGAAATTTTAAAGGGAATTCTGTGTTATCAATCTGAAAGTTTACTAAAACAATTTTTATTTATTTTTTTAAAGAATAAACAAACAAAAGTATTTATAATATTAAACATTTTGTTTATTTATTTTTGTTTAAAACATAATCATTTATGTTTATAGTAATCCTTTATTAAATGAAATAATTATCTAATAACAGATTAAAATATGTCTTTAATATTAAAACAAATATTATAGTTAGACTCTTTATTTAAATGATAATTTTTATACATTCTTAATTATGACATCAATAAATTTCTTGTTTAATTAACATTTTATTGATGTTGTTTATATGTCGTTTTAAAAAAGATATTTTTATCAAAAATCAAATGATTATTTTTTGTTGTATTTATTTATCACCCAATTAATCATTTTTTAACGATTTGTGCTTTATAAAACGTATTACAATATTCAAAATTGATTTGTTTTAAATAGTGATCACTGAAAAAAAACACCAAGTTTGAAATTGTATTTGAATAAAACCAAAAAAATAGTTAGAAAGATAAAAATTTATTTTTAATTATTTGTTTACTTTAAATAAGATTTTTTGTTAATGTTAATATTTTTAGTAAATAACAAGTTTTTTAAATTAAATAAAAAATGAAAATTATTAAAATTTAATTAAAATATATAGTTTTTTTTGTTAATTTTTAGAAATCAAATACATTACTAATATATTTAAGATTTTTACAGTTTTTTTATTCATTTTACTCTTCGAATATTTATCTTTACAGACGAATATATGAAGTGTTAATATTGTTTTTGTATTTCAAAAATGAAGAGTTCTTTTTGTTTGGTTAGTTTTGAATAAGTTGATAAACTACATTTCCTGTATAACCACCACACCGTTGAGCCAATCAACGATCAAAAAGCATGCAACAAACCAGTGTCGTTGTTAATTGTCATGATTATGAATAATTGTTTTAATTACTCATTTGAAAAAAAAGACAAAAATGATGGTAACAAAAGTTATGATCTTTATTATCATTTACGAAAACTTGTATATTTTCTTTTTTAGTTTCTCGTTTCGAGTAAAACGAAAACTGACTCAAATATCAAATAAAACTCAACCTTTAAAAAATTTGGTCTTTGTGGGAATGTTTAGATGAAAAAAACAAGTTGACTTTCTTTAAAATTGGTCAAAGAATGTTCCAAAAATGTGGCGGTCCAAATTTGTATTATTTTCAATCTGAAATTTTTTCAGTTGAAAACAATTGGAATTCATTATTTGATTGTAACGAATGGTTGAAATTATCATTTATTGGATAAAATATGTAAATCAAAACAGCCAAAATTTGATTTAAAAACAAAATTATATAATTTATTATATTATTATTACTTCATGTAACCAAAAAAAGTTTTGATTAAAAAAATTGATATTTTTACTGATAAAGTTTGACGTTTCGTGTTTCGTGATTCGAAAACAATTCCACCATTTTCTAAAGTCATGCGAAATCTATTTTTGCTTAAGCAATTCTAAACATAAATGCCCACTAACTTCAAGTAATGTTGCTTTCTGTAATAATACAAAAATCTGAAAAAACGAATAAAACTAAATCATCTGAACAGATGTGGCACTAAGGTTTCGACTAATAATTAATAATTTCTATACCATTGTAAAAACTTAATATGAAAAGTTGAATTTGGACCATTTTTGAAAACAAATAAAGAAAATTGTTCATTACTATTTAAATAGTATTTAAATAGTAAGTCGAAACCTTAGTATTACATTTGTATACTTAAACTTTATTTTAAAAAATAAAAACTCGTTATGCAACATCTTTGACTTGTATAGATCATCTTTAAGTTTTTTGTAACTCATAATAAATTTTTTAATCTTGCAAAAAAATTGCTTTTTTAAAATGGCCATTTTTCTGGTATCTTGACAATTGTGTGGCAAAATCGGCTTTTTAAAAAATATTAATCCCGAAATTTTAGGTTTAATTGGGAACACATAATTATCAATCACAATATGAACTTTTTTTCAATCTGAAAATAATGTCGAAAAGTAATTTATAGTTCGGCAAATTTGGGTTTAATATATATTGAAACACTGGATTTACCATCTTCAACAAACGCAACTTATTGGTTTTGATGCGAAGTATTTTTGTTTCTTCGAATAATTTCCTTTTTGAGTTGGTGGAATTTTCGTTTAAAAAAAATCAATATTTCTGTGCTATTAATAACGTCCTGATTCGACCCAAAAAGTGGATCGAAGATAGTTATAATGAGTGTCTTCAAGGCACACCATGATAACCAAGTGTGTGTACAATGTGTCTTGATTTCGATCCTCAACAAATTTCATACTTTTGTTGTCCAGCGTCCTGTCAAAAAAGGGAACGTTTCTCTTCAACTCATTAACATCCGAAGAATTGAAACAGGGAGTGATTGGATAGATGTTGAAGCCTTTGTGGTCAAACGAGTTCAAGAACGACAAATGTACGATGTGAAAATTGGAATTTCGCAAGACACTGCAAAACAACGCATCACCAAAAACAAAACATACGAACAAATCCATTTGTTAATTGACTTGGCGTGGTTGAATGGGTTTTTTTGCAACTCCACGTTCACAAGCGGAAGTCGATCTTCGATGGTCTGTGAAAACGTTGTTGAAATCTATTTAAAGAACAAAATAATTTTATCAACAGACAAAATATACGGACTCGGCATTAAAGTCAACCAAATGATATGCAGAAGGCTTGAAACCCAATACTCGATAGTTATTGAGAAAAATGATAATGACATTCAGAGTGTACTAGAACAATTTGAATTAAAATAATGACTGTTTCATTTCATTTTTTTGTTTTTGTTTTTGGTTGCGACAAAAAAATAACGATGTTTCAATTTATTTATACGATGTTATACAAATATACATTCGTATAAAAAGTGGTTTATTTAAATCGGACTTTTCGTTGTATATTTAAATTATGCTTAACCAACATACAGGATTCGAGTTGTAAAATGTTGTTTTACCGCAATGAAAACTGTTTTACATTTATTACATTAATACCACTTTGAACATAAATAAGTTAATAAGTTATTTAATTGGTGAATCATATTAACTTATAATCATTTAAATTAAAAAGACAACAACTTAACTTTATTATGAGTTTTATCTTTCAACCAAATTACATCTTTTTAAATTGAAAAAAAAGAATTATAACAGTAATTGTGCTTGAGGTAACAAAATAAGTTGATTTTTATTGTTGGAGAACTGTACAATGTATTTTTAATTGATCATTCTTTTCAAAACTTTTTTTTTCATTTACGTTGTACGATACATTTTATTTATAACAATATATTATCCGTATCTAAATTTCAATGGTTTTTTAACTCTATAATACAAAATTGTAAACAATGATAAACGATTCGTGTCGTTTTTAAAAGGGTATTTAATTATTTAATATTAAAAATAAAATAATCAGTGTATTTTTTTGTTTATATCAATTAAAATAAACCCCATTTGTTGTTGGATGTAAAAAGTGTAGTTTTTGAAAAATAACGAAAATAAATGCCTTTTCCTGTTTTGTAGATTTGAAAACCAATTTTATCAAAGTGGTATATGATTAAGAATCAATTATTTTTCAAAATGTTTTTTATTTTTGGAAAGATTCAAGAAAACAACAGTTTCTAAAGTTAAATTCGGTTCATTCTGTTATCATCATATAATCTATAAGAAACTTCAATTCATTGGTATTATAGTTAAAATTGATATTACATATGGTGTAAATTATTTCCATAATTTACAAAAACTTTTCGTTGTTATTTTTTGATTATTTTTTGATCAAATATTAAATTTCATATGTTTTAGTACTTCCATGAAAAGATTGTTCCGATTTTTAACAATCAAAATAAGTATATTGTCAACTTTTGTTACGATTTATTGATATTTAGACTTTATATATTATTCCGTTATAAATTATTTTAGTTTTTATTGGCTAAAAAAAATAGTAATAAAACTTGATAAATATTTAGTTAATAAATTCTAATGGTTATTTGTACTAAACAAAATGGTACATTTGTTTTCGAACCAATCTATAAAATAACACACCACCTAGAAGCGATCAAAACCCGAGTCAAATAAAACTAGTTACTTTCCGAGCTTCTTCTTGAGTTCCTCAATCTCCTTATCCTGTTCCTCGAGGGCCCTGAGTAAATGTTTAACTCTGTACTCCAAACGGGAGTTTTTGTCTTTAAGACTGTCAAGCTCTTCAGATTTTGGTTGTTGATTTTTTTTCATTTCGACTGCGAGTGTCTCTCTAATTTCGACTAGTTGTTTGATCAAGTCCTCCTTTGTAAGATTAATATCGGCCATTAAATCTGTGACTTCTGAGTTATCAGGGTTTCATTTTTTCTTTTTTCATTTTTGTGGGAAAAATGAAAAACATTTTTAAAGTACAAGTTGTATCTTTGTTATTGTAAAACAGTTGAATCAAAACAAAGAACTTGATTTTATAATGCTCCAAGTCGGGATTGGAATTAACGCGAGCAAGAAGAAGTTGACGGATAACGCATTCCAACGATTCATATCGTGTCACATCAAACAACATGTTTTGTTTTTCAAGTTATTATTATTAGGAGAAGAACTAACCACAAGAAAATTACAGCAAACAATGTTAAAACTATTATCGCCACTTTAAATCATATCACTGTCACTCCAGCACTGAAATACATGACTACACTAAATACTTTAGACCTCTCCGAAAACAAAATTACTGATGTGACAAATGAAGTGTTAAACTGGACGTCATTGACACTCCTGAATCTTTCACACAACAAAATAACAAATGCGGATTTCATATTCCAAATGACATCGTTGAAGTCTTTGAACCTCTCATACAACTCAATTACAACCATCCCAAGTGATCTGAAAAGTCTTTCCAATTTAAGTTTGTATTTCAAGATTTCGTTTACGAATTGTTTCAATGAGTGTGGTACACTGACTTTAAGCCGAGTTAAATTTGGGTTGGAACCAACTCACAGACTTTGACTATGAGTGCATGAACGGGTTGAAGTCCATTCAACGGTTCGATGTTACCGCAAATCGGATAACAACAGTGAAACACACAGAGAGTTTGTTTTACAAAACGTTTGGAACACCATTTGCTCAAGTCCTTCCAAATGAAATAGCCCCGCACCTCTATTTGGGGAGTATGGAAGCTACAGTAAAACCAACTCTCCGCGAACTCAAAATACACGCCGTCCTCTCTATAGGAGTTAAACCACTTTACAACAGCAAAAAGGTAATCTACCTGTATATACCATGTGGAGACACACCAACAGACAACATCGCGCAACACTTTTCAGAAGCATTTGAATTCATTGACCAATACATCTCGGAAGAGAAGAATGTGTTAGTCCACTGTGTTGCTGGAGTGAGTCGGTCCGCCTCAATTGTCATCTCTTATATCATGAAAAAAATGAAAATGACGTTCCCAGAAGCATTCCAAACTGTCAAGGATAAAAGGCTTTGCGTTTGTCCTAACCCAGGATTCACAGAGCAGCTCCAGAAATTCAAGCCAAAGTGACAAAGAAAGACTCTTGACTCTTCCAGTTTAATTGTTTTTTAGCTTATGTCGAAGTCGGGTTCTATTTTTGGAAATGTGGATGTGGCATGAAGATTAATTTACATTTATAAATTATACAAACTATATATTAATAATACTTCTACTAGAAATTGAAAGTACATAAAATACACTAAATTTCATTTCTTGTCTTTTGGATACCCGACTTTCTTCGCACTCAATTGCTTGACCAACTCTAAGCATGTTTCAATGACTAAACACTGAATAACATTGGCGATTGATTTGAGCTTAACTTGTTGAATTGTTTGAATTGCAATTTCATAATTGGAGTCTGGCTGAACACCAACAGCTTCTTCTTGAGTTAAATGTGGGGCGAGTATTGACAGTGCAACGGTCCAAATTTTGTTTATAACATCAGACAGTTTATCGAAGAAGTCTTCACATTAATTTTATGGTTTCTAATAAATAAAACAAACCGTCGACATTGTCTGGCTTCGTGAAAGAAAATTTCACAAACATCCACATGACTCTCAGAAGTAAAAAGCAGTTTCTGTCAAACGCAATTTTGACTGCGAAGTTGTCGACTAAGAAATTGAGAAGTCCTACAATCAACTTCTCAACACAATCGTTGAGTGCTTGGAATTTGGATATTTGATATGAAAACACGTAGACTGGCGTTGCAGTGACTTGGAATGAGAGTGTCGCCATTTTGATCCAAGTTTCCTCGTACTCTTTTTTATACAATCGAGGGCAATATGGATTGAAATATGGTATCTTTTTCATTATATCGGGATTAACAACTTCAACCACTTCTGGTTCGGTAGGCGAGAAAGAAACAACTCCAGAGTCAACCCAAACATACTTTGAAAGTGTTGGGTGATATCTCACAAAAATTTCCACGTCAATTGGAGTGGTTATTATAAACTTCATGTACGTATAATTAGCAAAGAAAAACACAAGTGCTGTCAAGTACTTTAAAGATGAGTTGTTCACCAACTCGATGTCACTTTCCTCTAACATGTACAAGACAAGATCGACGTCATTCACATTCCAAGGTCTTATACAATTCATCTCTCTCTTATCTTCTTGAGAAACTCTTAATGAACTCAAACTTTGTTTCTGCCCACCTTCTTTAGAAAAGGAAAACAAGTTCAGTTGGAGTGTGATAATCTGCATCATAAAGTAGTCTAACCCTAACCCAAAAAGTGGGTCAAAAGAATAGACAAGTGCATACTGTTTTGGACATGTAAAAGTCTTGCTTCTGTCTTGCTTCATTCTGAAGACGTCTTGGTCCATCTTTCTTACTTCTCGGAACAACTCTAAATAACACTTCAGAATTTCAGAAGCATTTGCAGTCGATTCTTCCTCTATTTTCTTCTTCTCCTTTTCACTTAAAAAGCTCAACTCGTCGAAATAGTCCGAAAACAGAGAAAACACGTCAATATGAATCTTTTTGGTTTCGTCGACATTCTCGGGCTTTTTCTCGACGAAAAAGTCCTTTGCTATTTTAAAGAAGTTGAAACGTTGAGAATTAATGAGTGCAGAGGCAATTTTGTAGCACATCCCTTTCGACATTTTTTGGACTAAAATATCGCGCACAAATAGCGAAAAGAGGCGAATCAGCATCATTTGTCCCATAATGTTTTCTCCACTCTTTCGTATGACGGAGTCGACCACAAAGTTCAAGTGCAGTTTCAAAATTTTGAAGTGCCCAATACTGACTTGAAAGTAGTGCAAATACTCTGCAAGACCGTTAGAGATCTCCTGTAGAATTTTGAAGAGTAAAACGTTGAGTCGTTCTTTGTGGTTTAACGTTGTCAATTTGTTGAGTTCAAATTCGCCTATAAAGTAGACCAACTGTTTAATCCACTTTTGAAACAAAGCACTGTCTTTCATTAGAACTTCACTCAAATAGTATTTGTTTGTTAATCCAAATTTGTTGTTCAACGCATTGTGGAGGTTAGTTATCGATGTGAACAATGCGGAATAATTCAACTTCACTCGTTCAGTCGACATCCGTTTCACTTGATATGATCGAAGTGCTAAAACGTCTAAAATCCCATCAAGAAAGATCGAGTTTTGCTCGAGTTCAGTGAAGAAGCAGTCATACCCAAAAAAAGCTCTTCTGAATGTTTTTAATAAAGCCGTCTTCTTACTCACGACAAGGGAAGACACACTAATTGCCTTTGAAATCTCTTTGAATACTGCAGTACCCAAAACAACAAGAAGTTTCATGAGGTAGAACCCGTCATCTTCTTTCCCGTGACTAACTAATGCGCAGAATGTATCACACAATACCGACAATAAGTTGTTCCCACTCAAGTTGAAATTAAACAGTCGATTGTATTGACTCTTTGCTTCTATTTGTTCGTTAAGTAAGAACGAAAGTATATACTTCCTTATTGGACTAATCTGGAGGAGTCGTGTTACATACTCACACAGCTGAATATATTCCGGTATGTCGCCATGTTGAAGTAATGTCAATAAAGTGACTACTTGTTCACCCAAAACACTCTTTTTGGCATCACTCAAAAGTTGACTGTTTTCTTGTTCGTATCCATGAATATAACACAACGCTTGTGGGACTTCTGATTGAAGTGCAAGTCCAACATCAATCGACTGTTGAATGGTTTTCTCGTTATTTTCGCGTCGTCGGTCTTCGTCCAATTTTTCTTGAGCTATTTTGAAGCTTTCCGACTTCTTTTTTATTTTGTCTTCTTGTTTTTGTTGTTTTCGCGACGTGTCGATTTCCTTCAAAAGTTCGATTTTGTCTTTGACATTTCCTTTTTGTAGCAAAATGCGTGCGGTTTCTTTTTGCTCAGATAAGGTCTTTCCAATGGCGTCTTTTTTTTCGGCGAATTTTTTTAAAGACTTTGTTTTCTGTGTTGAAATGAGTTGTGAAAGTGGTTGTTTTGGTTGCAATGACACTTTGTCTTTTGTTTTACTTTTTGGTTTCAATTTTTCGGTGGGCATTTGTGGGGGAGATATATCAGCGACTTGTTTTTGTTGAACCATAATTGAAGCGGATGTTGTTAAGTCGACTTTGGGGTGATTCATGTTGTGTGGGACTTGTGGGCATTTTATTAGATCGGGTTTTGACTCTTGTGGCGAAAGTTGTTGTGGACTTTGAAGATGAGTGGTAATATCACTGGAACAACTTCCACATTGACACAATGTGTTAATTGGATGACTACCTTTGGAGTGATTTTTGTGGTTGTTCTGGAGCATCCTCTTGTTACAATCAAAACACACAAAAATGGGTTTCTCAGTACAGTTGCAGATGTAATACTCATCAGTCATAAAACAGTGACAATTGTTTGAGGGAAGGGATTGGAAATATTCCTTTTCCTCTTTTGAACTAAATAACAGTTCGTCCATTTGGTCTGCAATTGGTTTTGGTTGGAGCATATTCGAAATAACCAAACGGATCGCAGTGTCATCAGACTCTGTGTTTTGGTTCATATCAACTTTTTCAATGTAGTTGCAAATACAATCTGTATGATCATCCATGGTGTATATAATTCGCTCCATGTTTCTATATCAAACGAAAGAACTCTTCAATTTTTCAAGTAAAAAAATCTAAAAGAACAATACGATGTAAATTTTTTTCATTAATTTTTTTAACTATTTCTAACTACTATATAATTATTTAGTATTAAATAGTTATAATAAATCATAAAAATAATATATTACAGTTTATCAATAGTTTATTTCTCTTGATTATAAAAAAATTAATAAAAAAGCTATATTATGATAGTATATTAAAATAACTATATTATATTATATAAAAATGACCATTCTAATAATAAAAAATAGTAAAATTAATAGTGCAATTATAGTAAATCAACAACAGACATACAGCAGTGTGTTCTTTATTCCTCCTTTTCGATTGGTAAATCCTCTTCGATGTCATCATTAGATCCTTTCACACAGACTGCAATTGCCGATTCGACATTCAAAGTGACTGATGTGACGAATTGGAGAATGAGACGCAAAGTAAACTGGACATTAGGCATCATAGAGTAGCAGAATATCATCCCTGGGACCCAAAAGAAGAGACAAATAGCCAACGTGAGTGGGTAATCTCTGAAGATGAATTTATGCCAGCTCATGTATCTTCCCAGTCTGACGATTGAGAAGTCGAGTTTTCTATATACAAAGAAAACGGAGGTTATTGGTACAACATAAAGAAGAGAGTAAGTGCTTTGATCCGCCAAGAATAACATGACTGTTCTTAATGGGCCGTTTCCAATATTTCCGTTCATCAAATTGTTCAACGCAAGCCAAATGAACTCCACGACGCCATGGAACCCAAAGAAGGCCAATGTCCCGATCACTTGTAACCAAAGTCTTCTGATCTTCACTTGACAGAAAGCAATTGTGACTAAGAAAGGCACAAGCCCCACAAAGATCGAATAAGAGAAGAACGCGTAGAGCAAATTTGCCTTCTTCTCAAAGGTCGAAAGCTTGTCGAAGAACTTTTCCTTTGCGTCGTCGATACCTCCATAACACCCAACAACAACAGCACCAATGACTATCACCATAAAGAATGGTAGGATTGCCATTAATACTGATTTGAAGATAGTCCAAATCAACGCTTGGATCGGATACTTCTCCATCTCGTCGGGTATCACTTCGACATTAACAAACGGTTTGATGTCAGTCGAGTTCTCTATTGAAGCTTTCTCTTCATTGTTTTCATCCATCTCAATCTCCGTTGAATTCAAGCCACTCTCGGGAGTCTTTGCAGTCGGAGTAATGGAAATATCAACACCAGTCTCATGCAGTGAACTACCAGAAGACGATTTTGGTGTGTCTGAGGACTTTTCTAGTTGGGCTAAGTCTGTGACTTGTACAGCCGGGACTTCTTGGTTCTCTTTTTCTTCATTAACATTTTTAGTGGTATTTAAATCTTTTTTGGAATCTGAAGAAGACGTGGAAGAGGACTTGGACGTTGTATTGTTCGATAAAGAGCTGCTTTCTTTCGACTTGTCACTCATCACTCACTCTTTAGGTTTTCAGATTTATTAAAGAATCTTTTTACAAAGAAATGGCATTTCAGAAAGGACTGTCGTTCTTTTTCAAACGGTTCTTTACAACTTCTGTGGCATGTTTTACTTTTTTCTTTTGGCTATTGGTTATTAGTTAATAGTATATCTATTTAATAGTATATCAGTATGTTATGTGAAATATACCCATTTTCGTTTTTGCGAAATCGGTTCTTAGAATTGAATTTTTTCTTTTAAAATTACTATAACATTACCATCAACAACTAATATTAATACTAAACAATATTTTGTATGTATAAATTTTCTACAAATAGATTTCTTCATTTTTTTCCCAATTCTAAAAAGAGTAAAAATAGATTTGATATTATTTTCATTTTACTATATTTATAATAAAAATAACCAACATTTTGAATATTGACAGGACAATCAGAAAAGAAATTTGTATTGTCAATTTCCCCAATTATTTTTTAAAACAAAATTAGAATGAAATAAATATAATTATTTAACTTTGATATAATTATAAATAACTATTCAAGAATTATAATAAAAAAATTATTTTTTCGATTATTCTCAAACCAAATTTAAACTTTATGAATTATATGTGGTAGTTATTAGTTTATTAAAGCCAATTTTATTTGAAAATAATGACAATGATATTATTAATAATATTAATTTAATATATTATTATATAAGTTATATTTAATTTCGATAAGTATTTTTTGGCAATAATTTTAACAAGTTTTATTTTTTGTGTATTTTTATTTCCATTAACTTTTTACATAAAAGACTTAATTGCCCTTAATTATTGTAAAATATAATTAATAAAAAATTAATAAACAAATTTATATTTTGATATCATATATAAATTATAATAATAGTATATAAATAATAAAGTAAATATTGGTATGGTTTCAATTAAATCAATGTCGAACAGGTTTACCTTGGGTTAGTGTAAACCGAGTAATACGGAGCATTATAAAGAAGGCTCAGGAAGACACACGCAAACAATCTGTTTGTGCACCCGTTTTATCCACGTTTTATCTTCCCCAGTCGCGCATCACCCGCTTGCGGGAAAATGACATCTGCGTCTACCCAGTACGGACAAAAAATTGGTTTCCACGGGCGTACAAACAGTAGCTGAGAAGAGGTATAACACATAATTTTGATTTGAATTTAGGTCAAATCAGTCGGTTTCAACACAAAATCATAAAGATATTATTATTTATATAATAATTATAATATTAATATAAAAACAAAAAAAAATTGTAAAAAAAGATATAGATCACGATGATGACAAAAATTTGTCGAGCGACGAGGGAGTGCTTGTCGATATTGATGGATTCGTATTTTTTTCTATTACAACAACATGAAATAAGAACTAAAATTCAAAAATGTTGTTTAACCACTGTCGGAACCTTTCAAATTGTCTTGAATTGTCGATAAACATTAAAAATATGAGAAAGAATGACAGTCGTGTACTAAAAAGAGAAAAATGTAGGTTTGTGTTTTATCGGAATAAAAATATTGACGACGGGAAAAGTGCTAACAATTTGGGTTAATTCCAAAAATTGCAATCAATTAATCTTTTCGTTATAATTTTTGTTCAAATCTTGAGGATTATGTCTCTGTTGTTATAATATTTTTAAATAAGATATTGTGTGTCAAAAAATCCTCAGAAAAAATGAAACGGGTTTACAATGATTTTTTTAAAGAAAAAGCAAAATTGACATTTTTTTCTATGCTATTTAAAAAAAAATAAAAGGGGAAACAGCGAACGTGTTAAAACATTTGAACTTTTCAATCACTCAATTTAGATTAAATGTTGAATATTGACTGGTTATCCAAATAAGTCATATTATTTTAATTAAAAACAAAGTTAATTATTGGTATATTCTTGAAAGTTACAGTTATAGAATACAAATGATAATAAATGAACTAAACAGTAGAATCAATAAAATGGATTTTTGACAAGGATATCGACTTTATCGAAAAGTGAGATGATGACGTTACATGGTTCAAGCATGAAAGGTTCCCCGTCGGTTTGTGCCGGTTTCTTTTCGAGCACCGTAATTTCGATGACAGTGCCTTGTGCTATTTTAACGGGTTGTTGCATTCCTGTCATCAAGAATGGCATTTCTACAAACGATGAAAACGCGATGACCTCAATCAACCCATCGCCAAAGTTACTATCTTTCATTCCTAACATACATTCCTCATCAGTAACAACATCAAAGAACTTATTACCTCCACCATAAGTACTCACATTCAAAAACGCTATACCTTCAAGAGGCGGAAGCTCAATATTAACACCATCGACTCGCAATTGAATCACTTTGTTGATGTCCCCGACATCCCCAGTTAGTGCTACAGGAGAACTAAACATGTACTGCACTTTATTTCCAATTCGTGACCCAAACATCTTCGGATTTGCTTGTCGCCGCTGGTGGAAGTCCAGAGCAATACCAGCATCTATCCCCACTGAAAAGTAATTGTTTAAAACAATAGTTCTATCTTCTTTTGCGTCTTTGTGGTGAATGGAAACCCTCCAACGGTCTAATGGTTGGACCAAAGCATATTGAACTTGCCGAAGAAGTGTGATTAAGTCCCCCCCGTCATATCCTCCACCCCATCCCGTGCATATTGACAAGTCGTTGCCTGTGCCCAATCTATTTATTAATTTATAACATTTTATTTAATACTATATAGTAATATATTAATATTAATAGTATTAACAAATTAATACTATATTAATAACAAACGGAATAATAAAATATTGTGGCTTTTTATTGGCCTTTTTCATTTCATTCATCACCCATCCAACAGTTCCATCTATTGTTTAACTATTCTGGTTTCATTTTTTATTAGAATTAAAACTAAAACAAACCACCTCCACATATCACCGCTATAAATTTATTCCCATACTCTTCAATGTACTTCACAATCTTATCAAACCCTTGCAACACATTACACACTTGTGGCAATGAAAACAATTCCTGTGTTTTGTTCTGAAGAAACTCTCCAAGTAAATTGCCCGACTTTGGATTCACAAAGAAGATCATTGGTGTTTTGTCGCGTCTATATACAGCTTTGTAATCGCCATATTCGTCCATTTGAGTCAGTGACGGCGAAATGACATACTTTCCAAGTACTCCATGGTAACAAATAGGCGGTGCAGAGTGGATACAAGACCCGTGAACTACCATGCCACACATACAACACCTAAAGTCTGTGAGTGCTATTCTGCTCCCAACAGACTGTTTACATACGATGCACGTGTTATTTGAATTTGTGTTCGCATTCAACAAGCAATTCCCGTTGACAAACCAATGATAATCCCTTTCAGAAGGAAGTGAAATGGGTCGACACGTGTTCTGCAGAGCATCTTTGCACTCCGAGTGGAGATAGACACCACATATTCTACAATGTAAACAGGAAAGAGAGACAATAATAGACCGACACACAACACATGTCGCGTTTTGGACTAAAGATGAACAACTTTCAATGACGTGGTGACCATTGAGTATACCCCGTTCTGAAAGAGATCGTTTCAATAGTGCGTCATTCTCTGGACTTAAATGGTCCTCATGTGCTTTTTCAGTCTTCAGTGTAGTCGCCTCTTCAAGGGAGACACATGGAAGGTAACAACTTTCGCTACAATCGGAATGGATCACCATATGGCATTTGGTACACTCGGCGTTGGTACTAAATGGGGTCGTTGGATATCCACAAATGTCACAGACACTGACCAATGTATCTGTTAGTTGAAATGAGTGTGAATGTGGGTATAAGTTACACATTACCAATTCTTTTGTATCGATGCGGGAGTCTTTGTATTGCATCTTCTAGTGGTCCAGTTCAATAATTAAGTTCATATTAATTTAGAGGGAGTTATTGGAGGACAAATTGGTCTAATAATCTTCGGATTTGAAAGTCAATTCTATTAGAATAGCAATTCCCATTATTTTATAGTAAATATTAATAAATTAATTACGTTTAGAATTGACTTGGTCATTTCTTATTCTGTGGTATTATTCGGACTTTTTTAACAACAAAAACACTGTGAATCAAATAAAACGTATTTTTTAATTTTTGGTGGGATTGATGACAGAATAAAATACAATGTTTTTGTGTTTTAAGGGAAAAAGAAACAAAATGCCTTAATAGTACTTTTATGGTAATTTTATAGTAATTTTATAGTAATTTTATAATAATTGTTATTAAATAATCTTTTCTCTTGAAAAACATTTTCAATACCAATTTATTTGTTTTGTGAGAAAAAGTTGCAAAAAAAGGCGCACAACTTTTGAAGAGAAAAAATCATCTTTTTATTTGAAAGACAAAAACTCAAAAAACTCAGATTGGAATGGACACTCAATTTGAGGATTTAATAGAACAAGTCATTAAGACGAAGTCCCTTCACGAAATCAAGTCGATATGTCACGGAACACTTCCAGACAAATTCAGAAGTGATATATATCAAACAATTTTAGCTCCAAAAGTGTTAGTGAAACAAATTGTAAGTGCTGAACACAACGAAGTTATTGATACAATGGTTGCGGTAAACAAAACAATTGTGTGGGCTGTTGTTGATACTATTATAGCAAGGTATACTATATCGCCAACTAAAACGCATATTGCTGCTATTTATAGAGTTGCTGCCTACTTATATTCACTTAACCCTTTCGAGATAGAGTCTGACAAGATTGAGGAAAAGGATCTCAAACCTCAATCTGAAAATCACAACGATGTTGACAAAGCAAACACTTCACTTGAAAATAGCGCTTCATCGACAGTAAAAGACAGCAATGAAAAGGTAGAAAGTCAAGAAGAGAAGACAGACGAGAATGTTAAAGAGAAAAAAGAGGAAAAGTCCGCAGAAGTGAACGCTTCTAAAGAGACGTTGGCACTTGATTTAAAACACAACAAACACATTCTTAGTCTTACAAATACTACCATCGCATTTTTCGATCATTTTCATAAATACTTATTATCCCGATATCCTTCATGTATTACAGGCATTAACAATATCTTCTCTTTATTATTACTCTTTCACTGCCCTTCATTATCTCTTAAAGTGCAATCGAAAAGAATCAGTCTTGATTTCATCATGAATGAGTACTTTTTGGATCTCTTATGCACTCTTCCAGACACGCCTCAAACACTCTTCTCTCTTTGGGACTTTCTTTTCTTAAATGAAGACCCTTCGACGTTTTTCTTCGTGTTGCTTGCAATTGTGTATCTGCGACAACACGACTTCGGTGATTCAATGGAGTCCTTCAGTCCAATTCTTGCAACGAAAATTACTCTTACTGAGGTGCCTAAAATCATTGGCACAGCAAATTATCTCCGAACAAAAACACCGTTGACGGTGTTCAGATACATCACCGGATGTGTGACGTATTCGTACAATTTCCAAAAGTACTACGCAAGAACTCTGAAAAACTCAATTTGCGTGGTGGTCAATGCCGTTGACGTGGCAAAAGATATTACAACACGCCACATCACCCCTCTGTTCATCGATTGTAGAAATCAGGAAGATTTTGACCGGTGCAGCGTGACGGGTGCGGTCCGTGTTGAACTGCCAATCACGGGAGAACATTTGGAGGAACTCGAAAAGGAATTTTCTAATAAAAATCGAGTTGTTTTCGTCTTTGGGTCGAACGCTGCGGGGCACTTCGGGAATACAGAAGAGGTCAAAAGCGCGGTTATAACACTTTGTAAGAAAGGAGTTTCAAAGATTTGTGTTGTGGAGGGAGGATTTGAAGAACTTCATGCCGCGGCCATGAAAAAAATGATTACTTTGGATAGACACAAAATCCCGAATTGTTACGTCTGCAACCCGCAAGTTAAGAATATGGAAAAAATCATGTCGACTGTTGAAGAAAAAACAAAAAAAGCGAAAGAAACCGTCACCGAAACGTCAGCAAATTGGTGGAATTACATTAGTCAAAAAGTCGATGAGGGAATTAAAAAGTACGAAGAAACTTCGGCGAAAAACATGGAAGAAGCGCTCAAAGAGAAAAATGAACGAGAACAAAGAAACGCGGAGATTGAGAAGAAACGAATGGCGGATGGTGAGAAGAAAAACATTGCAGTTAAAACTGAACCAAAAAGCCCCCAAAAAAGTGAGAAAAAAATGACGACAAAAGTACTCAAGGCGCAAAAGAGTGATGAGAAATCTCCTGAAAAGTCGGACGGAAAGAGCGAAGAGAAAAGCGAAGAAAAAGAGAGGAAAAAAATGGAGTTATTCGAAATTGTTGAAGAGGATGACGAAAAAGATAAAGAAGGCGACTCGGCTTATTTCAACGACTTGATCAAAGAAAACCCGACCTTTGTTGGTAAACTCGTCATGGGAGAGGAAGAGAAGGAAGTCACAATGGTTCTCACAACGATCGAGATGCTTATCCTTGAAAAGAACGAGTCAGAAGTGTTCATGTTGGATGAAGTTATGTATGAAGACATCAAAAAGGTCATTACGAAGAGATCCGCACCAGAGAATATCACTATAAAGACAGAAGACAAGGAATTTGTTTTCCGAGTCGAAAACAATCCACAACAATTCACCAAAGAACTTGCTCAGAAAGTGAAAAAGTGATTACTTTTTTAGTTTTGTTATTATTGTTTCATTACTATATAAATACTATCAATATGGAGTTTTTATTTAATTTGTATTTTAATATTAAAGTAATAGTTCTTTACAATACCTTTTTTTAATAAAGAATAACTAATAATATTTATAAGTTATTAATAATATTATTAACGATTTATTATAGAATAGAACAACATAAATAAAAACAGCATTTCATTTTTTTCTTTTATACAAGAAGGTGTGTATTCCGACCAATTTTTTTTCTAATAATTTCATAAATCCGAATGGTGTTGGGAGTTCGTCTTCTTTGATGAGGGCAAACGGATTTTTGAGTTGTTGAGTCATTTCATCGATTGTCTGTTTCTTATCAAAGTACTTCTTGATGAGGCTAAATACGGTGACTATAACAGTTAAAGCTCCACAATCAAACCCATTCCATATTATAAAGTCGAAAACTCTTATCGCTGTATCGAACTCTAATATATTGAAAAACCAGTGTTTAGTCCACTCTACTATGATCTCAAGTAATACATTGTCTTTCATCCCAAATTGTTGGAGTGGTGATGAACACTCTTTCATTAAAACACTTTTAATTTCTTTGGAAAAGTCTTTCACGTAATCACCGTCAAAGCAAAAGTTCTCCCACTGTCCTTCCATCATTTTCTGAAGTGCAATGGTGGTCTCCTTTTCATCTAAATACATCAAAAGTACAGAAGATACAGTAACGATCCCTTCATTGAAACGGTGCTTGGTATTGCAAAAGTGTCGAACAACTTCAAAAACACTCTGTTGACCAAAAGAATACCGATCTTTATATTTGTAATGGTCTCGAAATGTGTGTTCGATCATACAATCAATTTCTCCATCAAATTGAGTCACTTCAAGAGGACCAATTTGAACAGTCGAAACTATTTCATCACTCATTTGAAACTTCTTTCGCCAGTACATCCGTTTGAAACTAACGGGAACACCTTTGTACACCCGTTTCTCAAGCTTCGGGGGAACTTCGGACGTCCAATTTGTCATCATTTTATTCCATTTGGTCGACCGCGTTTTGTCGCGTTTGATATGTTTTGATTCCCTCCGCTTTGAAACAAATTCGCGTGAAGATAACAAAAAGCCAAAGCAATTTGTATTTGTTGGCTTTTCTTTGATTGGTCCACCCGTTTGTGTAAAATAGTCGTAACAGACTTTGACGTTTTCATGATTATTCAAGTCAAGAAGTCGAACACTTGTTTCTTGTAAATTCTGTTCAAGCGCATATTCTATCGCAATCTTATTAGATTTGTCTTTGATCTTCGTTGTCTCTTTATTAGATATAAAAGGTAAAATCTCGGGTATGTCAGTTTTTTGATTGCAAAAGTGGTGCAAAAACGTTTTTCCATTTTCGTCTTCTTTTTGTTATTTATGTTATTAAAATGTTATTAAAACGTTATTAAAATGTTATTAAAATTAAACAAACGGAATGTAAAATTGATCGAATATACTTGTGAGATGAGTTGTATCGTTTTGACATCTGCTTTGTCACAAGAACGTAAAAGATCTTTTACATTTTCCTCAGTCATTTGTTGTTTTTTAATAGTTCCTTTTGACGTTTCATCTTCTTCTAAACTGTGGTCTTGAGTTGTGCGTGAGTCGTCGCCAAAATAGCCCGAGTTGTCAATAAAGTTTTCGTAACTTTCTTGTGATTGACTTTCGCTTTGTTGGTGGAATGAGTGTTTTGAAAAGGACATAAAAATGAGTTGGTCAAACTAATTATCATAAGTTTATTTATTTATTTTTCTTTTTTTTCTATTTTTTTTACTAAATGTTTTTTGTTTTGTTATTCAATTTTTATTTTATATTTAATTACAAATAAATTCAATAAATCAGTTTTGGATGAGTTGGGAATGGCGACGACACAACACCTCGCGCAACAATTATGACAGTGTCAACGCATTACCTCCAGACCGTGACTATTCTTCTGAGTTTGACATATTTGACTCGCAACCCACACCAGTTGAAGCACATCCTTGTCATGAAGTAAAGGAAATTAAAGACGTGAAACATGCAAGTGACTTAAAGTGTTTCAACCACGGAGTACAACACGTTTCACAACAACGTGAGAGTCAAATTGTATTGCATCAAGAAACACAATTAGACATTATTAATGACTTTCAAGAGAAGGAAGATATACAACCACTTATTACTTCTACTGAAAACAGAGAAGAACTTTCTCGAGATCAAAGTAATAGTAGTGTCAATGTACATGAAGAAAATGAAATTGCTGATTCCATACTCCGTTTACCACTAACCCCATCAACTCATATTCAAACACCAAACACTTTCAATGAAGAGTTCAAACCAAAGCGGAGAATACCTCCAGAAGAACTCCAAAACTTTGATAAACCGGAAAATTGTTCGTTTCCTGAGATCGCATCACAAGACCCTTTTAAGGAAGATACATTTGATCCACAAGACTCTTTTCTCTTCATCGGCCCTACAAAGCATTCATACATCTCTACAGTCTATCAAAAAATTACTAAAGTTTGTTCGACTTGTTTTCATTCTATTCTTCATCTTTTTTGTATCATCTGTGTTAATTGTCGCACACAAATCAATGACTTAAAAACAGCTGTTGAAAAAGAAAAACGTGAAAGCCGTCTTCTTTATGGATGTTGTCGAAGTGAAAGAAGGTGAGAAGTTCCCACCATCACCATGTCCCGTCTATATCTTGTCTCTTCCATTCTATAAAGAGCAATTAGAAAAAGTTATTGTTGGCGAAACGACTATACTCTCTGGTATTGGGTCGTTCTATATCGATAAGTACTCTTTCGTGTATTCTACAATCGACGAAACGGTCGACGCTGTCCAATACAAAACGACTAAACAACTCATCAAAAACTTTTACCCTAAAGAGAACTGCACCTTCATGCTGACATCTTACTGGCCTTCATATGTCCTCGACAGACTTTCACTCTCGTCCAAACCAACTTTCAAAGTGACATACAGCGATGTCGCAGCAATTTTGGCGAAAGGGACAAACCCTAATTATCACTTCACGTCCGGTAAAATGTTTTATCAACGCCCACCATTTAGAACGGAAATCGAAAACAAAACTGTCATCTCCGAGTTTTACTCCCTTGCCCCAGAGACCGAATACAAGAAGTGCAAAAGCGTGTTTTTAGTCCAACCAAAGAAACAACAAAAATGGGAGAACAACATCAATCCGTATGACAGAGTCAAATTTTCGAAAGCCGTTTTCAACGAGTTGGAGAGTGAGAGACAAAGACTTGTGGGCCAGAAGGAGAGGCGGAAAGAGGCTGCAAAAGATGTACAGAAGAGTAGTGTTGAACGACATACCCCACCACCCAAAGAGACAAAACCGATCAAACAAAGAACTTTGACACCACAAGAGCGACTGTGGACGTGTTGGTTTTGTATGTCGAGCACATCAAGTTTTGATGATAAATTGTTGATCTCATGTGGATTGTATTTCTATATAACATACGCAAAAGGGCCGTTAATCGAAAGATGTTTGAATGTTGTGCCAATTCACCACATCGGGAGACTTTCAGAGATGGTGAAGGAGGGGATAGAGGAGCTTCAAAAGTATTTGACTGCTCTGAAAATGTTTTACAACTCATTTTCAAGCGAGGTGGTTGGCATCGAGTGTGTTTCGCAGCGAAATGAAAGTGGGTTTCCAACACACACATTCCTCCAAGTCTTCCCACTTGAGAAAAATTCAGAGAACTTCTTCATAGACTTTTTAAGAACAAAAATGGGGAGTTTGCGCGAAGTGAAAAATGTCGAGATTGGTCCTTTGGAGGGATACACATTTGTCACAACACCGAGTGGAAGGTGTTTCTTTGGGAAACGAGTGAATGTCAGAAGTATGATGTCAGAGTGGTATCGCGTGAAAGTTGTGAATTGGAAGGTATGCCAAGAGGAGTATTCTTGTGAGGAACGAAAGGCTCGAGAGATACGACACGACTTTATGCGGTTTGACACTGTTTTACTTGGATTGAGAGATTAGTTAATTACTAGTTTATATACTATACATGAACCATAACATGAAATAAGTTGTATTCATAGAAAAGAGAATCTTAAGTGGGTTCTTGAGGCTTTACTTTTTGAGTTTGATGTCGATTGGGTTTTGGTAAGTCCCACGCTTCTGGATAAGAAGATTGAATATCTTACTCGTCGCTTTAATTTTGGAGAACCCTTCAATGTTGTCGGAAACTTTGAGTCCTTTGGAACTGCCAAAGCCTTTCACGCCCATCGAAGTGAGTAAATCGTAGTCATCCATGTCTCGGGTGGGGTGTCGTGGTTTCTTCTCTTCGATCGATTTGGAAGTCTCAACTATTCTCTCTTTGATTGGTGCAAGTGTCGGCTGTTCTTCGACAGGTTGAACGTCTCTTCGTGAATTTTGACGATTGTCTTTTCGATCTCTTTTCCGATTTCTGTGTTGCCTTGTGCCTTCTTCAGAATCGTCACTTAAAGAATAGTCACGCTTCTCTCTTCTCTTACTCATTAGTAGTTGATAATTCTAGTTTTTTTATAATAATATAAATAATATAGTAATAGTATTTGTTCTTATTAATGATTAATACTATTTTATTAGGATTTTTATTATTTAATATATTTGTGTATCATTAATATATTATTAACTATAATACAATAAATCAAGTTGATAAAAAAGTGACTTTTTATTTTTAGGGTTTATGTATTTGGTTTACAATTTCGGGAAAAAATGCAATTAAATATAATTATATATTTACCAATGATTATAGTTTAAACATATAAATAAAATAATTATTTGTTTTAATTAAAACAATTATATAATTGATGATTGAACCATTAAATAAAGTTGAATTAACGTAAATTACAAGACATTATAATTAAGAAAACAAGCAAATATGTGTTTATTTTATGGAAGTAAAAACTACCCCTATTTAATAGATCAAAAAGTATTGAATTTGTCGTAATCGGGGATTTTTAAATTTATTCAAAACAATGTGAAATGAATAAATGATTATTGATATTAAATAAAATGTGATTATATAGTTTTTGATATTTTTTCCGCTGAACAAAGTTTGTCAATTTTTCTACAAATATGTTTTAATTCCATTTTATAATATAAATAAGTAATAGTATTATATTAAAAGTATTAAATGGAAAACAAAAAACAAATGAACTTAAATTTATTGTCATAACAAAACACTAAAACTGTATCAGTTGATAGTTGTTTATTTATGATTTATTATTATAATTTTTAGGAGTTTTGTTGTATTTAACGACAAAGAAAGTGAAAAAACGAATAAAGAGAGGGGTTTTGAAGAGACATCATAACCATTAAACTAATTTATTAAATTAGGTATGAAAAGAAGTTCCTTTGATATGTTTAATTGGTTTAATTGGTTATTTTATCATCAGATTTGAGTATTTGCAATGTACTACTAATAATAATAAAATAATTAGATAAAGTAATTAATAATTCACATGCGATAAAACATTTATTTTTTATTGAACGAAATCGAAAAAGCTTAAAATAGATTCATTGAAAAGTCAAAGACAAAAGTGCTGTATTCAATAACTAAAAGGGTTGTTCTGATATCTTGATTTTTGTTGTTGTATAAATTTGTATGTTGTCAACCATTCTTCTCTTTGCAACTTTCGTTATGGGGGATTACTGTTCGATGATGAATGGCGCAACGCCGTTAGGGCATTTTGAATATAAAGAAGGGTGTCAAGAGAATACGAGTGCTTATTTGTTCAACAAAACTGATTTTATAATAACTGATTATACTCTCAAAGAAATAACTTTAATTTCATTTAACTATAATCTAGTTTTGGGAGTAGAGTCAATAGAAGCCAAACCAACACTCATTCATTTTTATAGTGTCGAAAACAAAGAATATGATATTTTATTTACAAACACAAACACTGAAATGGTTATAAATTTTGAACACTTGACAACATATACAGAACATTTGATACTTAAAAATGTCACAATAGACCCAGTGAAAATGCCCGCAAAGATAATTAATAGCCAAAACAATCAAGCAGACATAATCTTAAATTACTTGGACTGTTTGGAACCACAGAAAAACACACATTTTGAGTTGGTAGGAAATTTCAATGTGAATATAGCATCACCAACACTCTTTGCATATCTCTTTAGTTCAAATGACACTAATTCTAAGATATCATCGAGCAACAATTTGTATTCCACGCGGTGTTCAAATGGGTACACCAAATACTATTCTTCAAAGAATATTTTACCAAATTTGAGTATCACTTGCATTTGCCCAAATAATACTTTGGACGACTCGGAGTGTTCTACTTTTTTCACTTTTGATGAACCAGTTTCTCAAATTATTGATCTCTCTTTGGGAAGTGTGGTATACAAGAAACTCTCAACTACATTATTGTATTACAGTGTGTATCTATCGAACAATAACACTTTCAAAGTCGTCACCGCGACAAACACTATTTATTACATCTATGGGTCTTCACCCGTGTTTACATGTAATTACATTGTTGGGTCTAACTTTGAACTCCGTTCTGTTACAAGTGAGGACAAGACAATTGTTCTTGTCAGTGGTGATATTGAAGGGGAGTTTTCTCGACTCGATGATAAATCGTCGGTACTTTACAGTTCAAATTCCAATACCACATTGTCGTCTGATGGAAAGATTAAAAGTGGAGTTCATGTTTGCGACAGTTTGTTTTCGTTTATCGAAGAGTACAAAATAAGTGACTTTTAGTATATCATTTCACGACATCAAGTGCATGTATTCTTTGTGAAAATAGTAAATACTTAAATAATGGAGTATGCGCTTGTTTGTACTCTTTGGATTCAATAACAAACGTCTGCTCATTAGAAAACTGCACTTCTTACACCAACGGGGTGTGTACTGCTTGTGTAAGTGGAATGAAATACCATCCATTACAGAAGAAATGTATGGAGTTCATTACAAGTTGTGTGCAACATACTAACAATTGTGATACATGTGATAACTCTTCATTGTTTTGCACTCAATGTGATAGTGGATATTATTTATTAAACAATAAATGTGAGCCAATGGTGGGATGTTTTGAAGCTTTAAACGATCGTTGTCTGAAATGCTCTTTGAAGTACTTTTTAGACGAAAACAATACATGTAGTCCTTGTGTTGAAAACTGCAGATTTTGTTCTTCAAAATCTAAATGTGACATTTGTGAGGATAAGATGATATTTGATGGAAAGAAGTGTGTAACTTCTCAAATTGTTATGAGTTGTTCAGATGGTGAATATATCAATTCCGGTCTTTGTCAACAATGCTCCACCAAATTTGCGAATTGTAGTTTGTGTACCAAAGAACGTTGTTTAATATGTAGTGGAGATACTCTTCTTTCAAATGATGTGTGTGTTTTTAAAGAAGAATGTACACCCACGTTGTCTAACAAATGTATTTGTTCTTCTGGTGAGATATATGATGGTGTTTCATGTGCCAACAAGATTACAAATTGTCTTTTTCAAGTCAGTTTAGCATGTGTACAATGTCAAGAAAATTATGTGTTATATAACGGCACATGTGTGACACTCGATGATACAAGCAATATTTTAGAATTCACTGGGTGTGAAGAAACAACACCGACAGGATGTTTGGTGTGTTCTGAAGGATATTACAATGAAATAGGTATTTGTGAGTCATGTCCAATTGGTTGCACGACTTGCTTAAATGCTTTCACGTGTCTTTCGTGCTCTTCTGGGTTATACTTAAATGAACACCAATGTAATAACAACACTGAATTGACAGGTATTTGTCTTCAGTTCAATATGAATGGCGGTTGTGTCAAGTGTGCAGATGGCTATTATCGAGAAGAGTTTGGTTGTTCCAAGTGCTCCACTGGTTGTAAGACTTGTTACACGTCTTCTCAGTGTTATTTGTGTGACGAATACAATTTTATGACAGAGGAAAACGTCTGCAAGCTTAAATCTACCATCACAAATTGCTCTACAGAGATCAGTTCACAGAATGGCTGTTCTCAATGTGATGATGGGTATTATAACAAAAATCGGCAATGTTACAAATGTGATTTAATATGTAAGACGTGTTCTAGTTCTGATTTATGCATTTCATGTAATGACGACCATGTGTACTCTTCTGGGAGTTGTTTGAAGCTTTCACAAATAACTGATTGTGTTGTTGTAAAAGGATCAAAGTGTACCAAATGTTCGTTCTGGAAAAAGCCCGACACGAGTGGTGTTTATTGTAAGTCGAGTGTAGTGTGGTGGGTCATATTCCTAGTAGTTATCTTTGTTCTTTTCATGATTATTACTGTACTTATTTGCATAATACTAGCAATGAATTTTTTCATGAAGCTTGCCAGAACTCGCGAGATGAAACAAAACGTCCATATTTTTTGTATGAAGAAAATGGGTGTCCAGTTTGTGAAGAATTTGAATGCTCTTATCGCACTGAATAAACCAAACATCATATTTGGCGATGAAGAGAAGATCCCCATCAACACCGAAACGGTCGAGAATCTCTGTATTGGGAATGTCTCCAAACACACTCTCAAAGTTCAATTTGTTGTCACAAAAAATGAAAAGTGTGTGATACGAACACAACCAGAGTTAGTCATTCTGCAAAAGGGGTTTGCTTGTGAATTTCAGGTCTTTGTCAACCCACTGTGTTCCTGCAAACAAAACGTGTTGGTCAAAATTGTGACCTTAGACTTAAAAACAGACTCTGTACTATCCAACGACTTCAGTTTGAGCTACGAGACTCAATCACAACCCGGCTTGACCCTGACTCGATTTACGAAGAGAGAAA